GCCTCCCACAGTGCTAGGATTACAGGCGTGAGCCACCGCGCCCGGCCACAGCCACCTTTTTTTAAAGCCGCTGGTATTTGAGGTTTTAGTTTTATGCTGCCGAACCTAATCTTAACTGATACACATTTCAATTGTTGGCATATCACTCCTTTATTAGGAATTGTAAATGAGAAATTATTTCAACACCTGAGGACCACACTACAATAGAAGATTCCATACGCTCAAGATTTTGAGACATTCTGGAAAGAGTTTTCTGTAAGGTATATCCTTTCCGTGGCATGGCAATATCATTCTTCTTTAAAAAGGTCACTGGACAGACATCATTTCCACCATCACCTATATAAACTATTTGTGTATAATTCACTCCCTGTTGTAACTGTTTATCTACAAATTCTACCAAAACTACATTTTTGCAAAGATTCTTTGGGCATCTGTTGCAAGAATGAGCATGATAATTTTCCACAGTGAGATGACCATTGCCATCAAAAGCTGCTGGGTTTGTAAACACTTTATCAAACACATCATGAAAATCGGCAGCTTCTAAAACCCAATCTATAAAGACTGAATTTGAATCTGAAATAATGATACAGTCAAATTTATCCTTAGTCTTTCTTATAAAGTTGAAAAGTTCCACCATCCCTGGAGTGAAAGGCATTGATGTCACTGCTCTTTTCATTTCATCTTCTCTTACACCTTTATCTCCCAAATACTTAAAGACTCTGCCCATAAATTCTGTCCAAAATCCTTTTTGATAAGAATCTTTGAGTTCAATAGGAAGCTTTCTGCCTGGAGCACATTGTACAATCCAAGTGTCACTATTGTCATCTATGATTGTATTGTCAAAGTCAAAAACCAGCAAAATTTTCATGGTTCCAGAAGTAGATTTGGGTTACCCTGAAAAAGAAGAAATATTATTCCCTACACACACTCTGTTTACATACGTAGCTATTATACTTATTTAATAAATATAACTAAATGTTAATCTGCTAAAACAAGGAATATAGACAAGTGATTAAGCATTTTAAGACCATCACCTAAGCACTTTTTCCTAAGAAGCAAAGTTCATATTTGAGTATTTTAAGTGAATGGCAAAAAATATATAAAAAGGAAATTCATAGTCTCATTGTTTCTGTGGGGATGCTTTTTTTTTTTTTTTTAAGACATAGTCTCCCTCTGTTGCCCCTGCTAGAGGGCAGTGTTGTCACCCTAGCTCACTGCAACCTCAATTCATGGGCTCAAGGGATCCTCCTGCCCCAGCTTACCAAGTAGCTGGGACTACAGGTATGTACCACCACACCCAGCTAATTTTTTCTATTTTTAGTAGAGACAGGATCTCACTCTTGCTGAGACTGGTCTGAACTCCTCTGACCTCAAGTGATCCTCCTGCCTTGGCCTCCTGGAATGCTAGGATTATAGGAGTGAGCCAGTGTACCCAGTTTTGGGTGACTCTTATAAAAGTTAAAATACAAAAAAAAATAAAATGCAGGTTAATCTTTCTTATTATCATTAAATTATCAATCATAGCCATACTTACTAGATTAAATATTTATAATAATCCTCTTATTAAATAAGTCATGTATAATATAGATTCTCTGTGTACTAACCAAAATTCTAAACAAATTTACCAAGGAATCTTGTAAAATGTAAAACAATTTTTTTAAAAAAGTGTTTATCTTGAAATCAATTTCTAAATGCTAATGTTATAACTCAATGATTGCTTGATGCTATACTTAAAATTCTAAACAAATTATAAACTGGCTCAAGTCTGAGAAATAAAGAAAAAAAAATTCTAAACAAATTACCTGAGAACTGGAGATCAATTTAATTCTCACAAACCAGAAATAACTTTTGTTAATGGTTTTCACATGTTATTTATATCTGTTCTAGATAGTTTAGCTCTGGGGTGCCAAATAATCTGAATTCACCTAAGTAATTATAATACTTACGGTATGACAATTACTTAACACTGTTTTCTTTAGAAGATAATGAAGGTCATTAATTATAATCTCAAGAGAAAAGGGAAGAATAAGCTGGTCAACAGATGGTATAGATAAAAATTATCATGAAAAAATAATTATACAGAATACACAGGGTAATCTATAATTAGTGTGTATAATCAAAACATAAATAAAAAGAATAACTAATATTTTTGAGAGATCACTATATGCCAGGCACGGGACTAAAAACTTTACAATATTATTTTATTTAATTGTCACAACCCTATTAAGTAGGAATTATTATTATCCTTATCATTAAGATATATTAACTGTAGCTTAAAGTGCTTAAGTATCATTAGTTAAGTGGCAGAGCTGGAGTTTTGGACTCGGTTGGTTTGATTCCAAAGTTCATGCTTTTAAGTACCAAATTCTAGTGCCTAAGAAATAGAATATTTAAAGACTATTCATCAGTTTAAAAATAAAATACTGGGGGCTGACACTTGCGGCTCCCACCTGTAATCCCAGCAGTTTGGAAGGCCGAGGTGGGAAGCTCGCTTGAGGCCAAAAGTTCTGGACGAGGCAGGGCAACATGGTGAGACCCCATCTCTACCAAAAAAAAAAAAGCCATGCACGGTGGTGCACACCTGTAGTCCTAGCTACTAGAGAGGCTGAGGCAGGAGGCTTGCTTGAGCCCAGGAGGGTTTGAGGCTGCAGTGAGCTATGATCACACCACTGCACTCCAGCCTGGTTGACAGAGTAAGATCCTCTCTCTAAAATAAAAAAAACCAATAAGATAAAATAAAATAAAATACTCAGTAGGTCACTTTGGGAAAAAAGATGTTTAATTACATGAAAATACTCATTAGCCTCAAAGTACACACAACCCATAACACATCTGTGATCGACTTTATAAAGATTCTGAAGTTTTAGCAAAAAATCCTAAAAAGAAAAGAACCCCACCAATAAGAGATCAATTGAAAATGGAAAACATGCCATTTAATCACAAGTATTCTCCAGTTTATAACGACAGATACCTGGTTGTGAAGACAGAATAGAGCTTTTGACTCACTTAAGAGTAATTATTCTGTCTCTCAATTTAGGATATCTAGAGAATAACTAACCTAGAGGGGTAGCTCCTGTTGTGTGAATTTAGATCGTATGTAATAATCTAGTACTCTGGATCCTTGTATCTCTAAATGCCTAATCCAGGTGTCTCTGATCCACTCCCAGAAATTTAAATGCGTAATTCACTTTCCCATAGAAACAATGTAATAAATAACAATAAGGAATAATTGACAATCACATTATTACTGTACCTAGGCATATTTTAAATTAAATATGCTTTCTGAGCATTCTGAATTTATAATTTAAAAAAAATTTTTTTCAAAATGTAACTTGTCGCTTGAAAACTGTCTCAAGCCTAGGTTTAGTTAGCCACAAATTATTGAAATTTCTGAACTATTAGCCTCAAAATAGCATGAAACTGAATGTAACATAGTTCCACTGCTAATATAACAGTGTACTTTTCATAATTTCTTATTTTTCTATTAGTCTTTTCTCACCACTCAACATAAACCTTTATTAAAAATACTTACCCAATTTAGTATTTCCAAGACAATTAATCTTACTTCAGTATAGGACTTAGTCATGATAATCTTCAGTTTTAAATGCCAGCCAGTTGTTTTTAAACATTATTTTTATTCTACATACATGGAAAAAAGTCTTCTGGTTTGGAGCAAAAGAATGGAAACTTCTTAACTCCTAAAATTAAAAAAAGTATTTCAAGAGCTTTAAAATTTGTGTTTTCTAATTATGCTGTTTTTTCTTCTATCAGAAAAATATCTATTGGCAATGGGAGGAAGAAAATTTTGGTTAAACAAGAAAACCGTAAATATAAAACAGGGAATAGTATGTGAAAATCAGTTTTTATCCAGTGGATAAAATCACAAGTGTTAAGCTGATTGAGATTTCCAGATTCCATTCTTTCTTTTTACTTGTTGAATAATACAGGAATACTATATTCTGTTGTCAATAAACGTTCAGAGATTTAGTGCTGTACTTGAAAAAAAAATGTTAAAAAAAAAAATTAAGGATGTGCACAAAGATTTAAAAAATATGAATCTATTTTGAAACCAATTTGTTAAAATTCCAAAACAGTGATTCTCTTGGGAAGCACAAGCAGCATCTACTTGGTATGAATGCAATGTTTCCAGAGTATAAAAATAACCTATCTACATTACACAATAATGAAAACTAGAAACTACATTGATATCCAAGAATTGGGGATTGGTTAAATATGGTAGGTATGTGATAGCCATATAGTAGAATATTTATTCAGCCAGTAAAGGCTAAGATGTTCAGTTCAAATTAAACAAACAAGTCACAAAATAGTATGTATAGTATAATCCCGTTTTTGCTTTAAAAAATAACTTTGGGAGGCCAAGGTGGGAGAATTGCTTGAGGCCAGCCTGAGCAAGAGACACCGCCACCCCTCCCTTACAAAGAAAATAGAAAAATTAGCCAGGCATGCTGGCGTGTGCTTGTAGTCCCAGCTACTGGGGAAGACTGAGGCAGGAGGATTTTTCAAGCCCAGGAGTTTGAGATTGCAGTGAGCTCTGATGATGCCACTGCACTCCAGCCCAGACAACAGAGC